TGGCAACCCCTTTCAGGACTTTTTCGGCCGGGACGCCTTCGGAGTCGTCGGACGGGTCGCCCTCCGAATGCGAATCGGAGTCCGAGGTGCAGAAGCCCCCCAAGTACACTTGCTCCCTCTTGCAGCGAACCGGGGGGCCTACAAAACTCCTCGGAATGGCAAGAAGTCGATTCACGAGCAGCGGTACATCAGCTGCATCAACCACCACATGCACGGGCAACTTTGGACGAGCAACAAGGGCCCGGCGCCGCCGATTACTGGGGGCAAGGGCAAGGGCAAGGGCAAGGGGCGCGGGTAAGCGAAAAGTCGGGGTAATCCATCGCGATCGAGCCCGAGACCTTCTCTTCGACCTTCTCGCGGGACCGTGACCTTCTCGGGAGAGCGATACAACCGGTGGCCATACAACATGTCACACGAGGTCGAACGATGTTCCCGCGTCGTTCCTTTCTTCAGATGTCTGTGTTAGTGTGTGGATCTCGCGATGGTTGCAACTGAAAAGACCTCCCAAGCCATGGGAGCCCCCCCCCCACTGTTTGCGCCCGAGATCACAGTGGGAGTCAGAAATGTGGTCCTTGCGCGAGGGGAGCTAGATAAACTCGAGGGGCCAAATTATGCCGCGAGGAGGGCGGAGTTACGCAGAGAGGCGAGAGAAGCAGCGAGAGGGCAGCGAGAGCAAGGCAAGACGGCAGCGCGGCGTCTCACGGCGGAACGAGGCCGAGGAGAGCGATGAGTCAGAGGATGAAACAGCAGGAGAGAGGAACGAGGACGAGAGTGGGAAGAACGCGAGGTGGCATGAAGGTTGCTGCGAGAATTGGTGAGAAACTCAAACTGCGAAGAGAGATAGGAAGTGGTAGACGCCCGAGGGTGGGCGACGGCTAGCAGACACCGCACTTCTCTCCTTAATGGCTTTCTTTTTAAAGTATAAAGAATATTCGTTTGGTTTGTCGGTTTCTTTCTTAAAGAACCCTTTTTTCCAGTGTATGTGGCTCTTACTAACACATACCGAGTTTTTCTAAGCACTAAGGCGTATAAGGGCGCGAAGCGAAGATAAAAAGAAATTCGGCGTGGCGTCCCAGAATTCATTGTCCCGCATCCTCTACAAAGACCTAAAGTCCTTGACCCTCTACCCCGCCGAGACCGTACCCAGGCTTTCATCGTAAGAGACCTCCTAGGATGGGAGTAGCCGCATGCGCACCAACCGCTCCATCAGCTCGGGCAGGTCGGCTGTAGCGCTCGGCCGGACCTTGCGCCAACCAACGACGCGTTCGCACAGCCTCCACGCCCACCGCTGTGAGGACCACCGCGTGGCGTCGGCCCATGTTGCCAACGTGCCGCCTGCTGCGGCCGCGACGGCTTGTGCGCGCTCGTAGCCGGCTGCATGCTCGTCGTCGCCACTTTCGAAGACCAGCACAGCCGCACGGCGAAAGCCATGGATTGCGTACACGGGGAAGGCGTGCGTCGCAGTCTGGTAGCACCGCAGCAGCTTTGTGCGGCTGTCCTCCTCCGCACTCAAGCCATCAACGCACACCATGGGAGGCCAGATTATCTGCAGCAGATCTTGGCTCGACCCTGCCTGGGACACCCCCGTCGTGGCCATCGCGTGCACCATCTCCGACTCGCTTCCGATGGCGGCGAGGTGAGCCTCGTTTGCCGAGGCCCGTTTTCGGTGCTTTATGCTGAGGGCCGCAGTGCCTGGCTTTTTGATTCTGCGCTTCCGCTCGATATCCGCAGCCTTGCCTTGTTTGCGCTTTCGTGCCATCGACTGCGCTGGTGTAAGATCGGCCGCCTCCGCTCGACCCTGCCACACCACGCCGAGGCCCACGCGCGCACGTCGGGGACTCGCGCGCGCCTCCCGCTGTGGACGCGTACGCTGGCGCAGCAACTCCCAACCAGCCGTCCCCCTAAAGCATAGCAGCAACGATGTCGGAGAAAAACTCGCAAAGAATTTTTCAAAAGAAACCGACGCCCGCCAGCTCTGGCCCACCCATGACTCCCGACTGCCACCCATGACTCCCGACCTCTGCTTCGAGCCCTCCGACTCGCTCCCGCCTAGCCGTTACGTGCTGCTCGTGTCCGGCACGATGAGCCCTCCGCACGTTGGTCACGTGCGCCTTGGCCTGTCCACGGCCGCCGCGCTGCGAGCCGACGGCCACTCGGTCGACGCCATCTGCTTCCTTCCGGTCCACGACAACTACCTCTGCAACAAGGCGCGATGCGCCTCGCAAGCCGCTGCCCGCCGTCATCGTCGCCACATCCATGTCGTTGCCATCGCCCACAGGTGGCCGCCAAGTGCTCGTCCGGCGCGAGCGGTGCCGACCTGCTGGCCTTCCCGATGTGCGACCGCTGCCTTCTGCTGCGGGCGCTACTGGCGCGCGAGGCAGCCGGCGAGCTGCTCTCGCGCTGCCACGTCCTCGAGTACGAGCACTCGTGCGGCGGTTCCCTCCTCGAGCCATCGCCCGGCTACTGGGTGCCGCTCCCGCCCGAAAAATGT